GGGTTCTTGTCCTTGGGAACCACCTGCACGTTGTTGGCGGCGTACCACTCCATGGCCTTTTTACCGTAATGGCAAGATGCCAAATCCGGCCAAAACAGTACGGAACAACCGTGTTTCTTCAGGAAAGGCAGCAGACGTTTATTCAAACACTCTTTCACGTAAATTTCTTGGTTGACAGTCCCGGAAGCTATGAAAATGCTGCTTTTCAAGCCACAGGCACAGATGGCTTGCCAAACCAGATATTTCTTTGCGAACTTTGACAGTTTCATGTGCTTGAAAACATCTGCTACCTTTCCCCTTCCTTTTGCCGTACAAAACTCCTGTCCCGGAAGCTGCTTGGAGTCGGCTTTGACGTAGGTTTCGTCGTCCATTACCACGCAGTCAAACTTCGTCAGCATCGTCGTGTACAGCCTCCGGGATCGCGCTTTGGCCGTCGTATTTTGTTTATCATCGCGATTTGGAGTCACTACCTTCTTGTAAGTCGATAGTCCGGCTCGTTTTTTGGCTCGATGCACGGTTGTAGACGATAAACCCAGCTTATTTGCGGCATCTCGGAGAGAGAGGTTAGGGTTTCGCTTGAAACTACCGGCAACTCTCTTTGTCGTCTCAGCGGCTTCCGGTTTTCGATTTCCCCCCGATCCAGACTTCCTGGCCTGATCATGAATGTCCGGCTTCTATGATGTCGACATCAGATTTAACTAATCTAAACAATTAATAGACTCTAAGCAAATATTTTGCAGATCATCAAAACAGAGAAGGAATTAAATTTTAGTACGAGTTGGAGCTTACCGCTATTAGAGTTTGCCACCTAAAAAAATCCTGGATAGTTTGGGTAGAAGCGAGGCAATTTGCTAATCGTTATTCAACAACCTATGTCACTGTATGCTTGTAAAGAATTTTCAGGCTAACTTATATCGTAGAATTTGATTTACCAAGTTGACATTTTGGGGAAGAAGTCCTGGTGATGGCATCATTTTTGACAGTAAGTAATTTTGGTTTTAGTTCAGTAGTTCATTTTAAAAGAGAACTAGTCAAAGCGGTCTTTATTATCTGTTACATCCCCCCCCCCCTTTCAAGAGATCGTAGAGTATCAGCCAATATGGAAGCCTACAATTCCGGAATGGACGTTCAGGTTGATCAGTAGATTGGATTCGGCTACTAGCTAATTATGCATCCTAGAAATTTTCAATTGGATTAGCTTCATTTACAAGAACAGCTGAGGATGCCCACTGAGATTGAACCGCTTAATGCCAGACGTTCTTCACACAATTCAAAAATATTCTTTTAATATTTTTTACTGAATGAAATTATCGTTGCTGGCGACGCTTCAAAAAACGGCCAGGGAGTAGTAACCATGCATCGGTTTCCGAACGGTACAGTGAAGGCCATCGCACATGCTTAAAGGTCGGTGATGGCAGTTCAACAAAATTATGGGACAAGCCATTGCTGAAGATATTTAGAGGCAAGAAGGGTATTCCAATTTACACCGCAAACCAACACTGGGCATTACGCTTTCGACATCCAGTTCATGCCGAATGCAAGTTTCGGTCATGCTAATCTGTTGTCACGCTTGATTAGTTCCAACAGTAGACCGGACGAAAAATATTGTATCGCTGCTGTGTAAATCGAATCGGATGTGAAAGCGATCTTTGATGACTCCATCTCTGTTTTGTCCGTCACATCTGAAATGATAGTCAAGGAGACAATTCATGATCCAGTCCTGCAAGAGGTAATTGATCATACTGCGAATAAACTGCAGGATCCAGCCGTTCACCAATTTTTCTATGCCGAGCGAGACAGCCTCCAGATCGTCCAAGGTTGCATAATGTTTAGCGACAGGGTCGTCATCCGTCAACTGCATCGAGAACATTCTGGTGTGGATCGTATGAAGCTAGAAGCTTCGTTTACTGGCCAAACATAGACAACGACGTAGATAGCTGTTTTCGATAGTGCAGTTCCTGCTTTTCGAATTGTCATATTTTTCACTGATATAACATGTTCAAGCTTCATTGCAACTGATTTTAACTTGATAAAATTATCAATAAATTTTCAATGAGTTTTCAAATATTTGCATGGGAACTGCACTTTGTAACTTCGACAGCCATTTTCTCAATGCTTACTTTTCCCATATATGGGACTGATATGCAATTATAGGGAGTATAGATGGTTACTACTATCGTCAATGCTTACTCCAAATGGCCCGATGTTTTCCGCACCTGCTATATAACAACAACAGCAACACTGGATATTCTGCAAGAAACATTTGCAAGGTATGGAAATCCACAAACCACAAACTATTTGTCAGCTGCACATTTTAAGAAAATGGAATCTGCCTCCTGACGATTGCTCCCGACCATCCGCAGTTAAATGACCAGACAAAAACTCGTCGAGGGAAGAAATATGGTTACTTCCCAGCATCTCATGTCCCCCTTTCCTATCAACCACGAATCAACACGCTCCTGATGAAAAAACACCTGCCAAGTTTTCGCCAGGGGAGACAGCCTGTTAATGAAGAGCATCTTCAGTAACAGTGACAGCTGGTTCCAGGCATGGAAAATCATTTGCATTCATTTACATTCATTTGCCTCTAACTTTATTCTTCAACAGCATTCCGCAAAATGATATATAGAGCTTTTGTAGGTTTTGTTATTAGCTACTACTTTTGTAAACAAGTCGAATCCGTATCTCTTATGCGTGACGAAACAGAGCAAACAGAAGCCACTGCTGTTTTTCAGTGAATGTATTTTACATTCACTGAAAAACAGTAACAAGTTCTGCCCGCTCTAGTTCGTGATGCATAAGAGATACATATTTGAGTTATGAACAAAACTTGTAGTTAATAACAAAACCTTCAAAAGTTCTATACATCATTTTGCGGATGCTGTTGATGAAAAAAGTTAGAGGCAAATGAATGTAAATTAATGTATGAAATGAATGCAAATGATTTTCCATGCCTGGCTGGTTCATCCAGGTCCTCAGGAACAGCGGAAGCCATCGTTTGGAAGTTGAATCCATCGTGCTGTTCGTGAGATTCCTGTTTAATATGGATGTCAGCGTATCCCAATAAACAATTTGTGTTTATTAAAGGCTGAATAAGCCATTTTTTAGCTGAAGAAGCATATTTTCCCTGAATAAGCTCTGATTGTTCTTCCAATTTAGGAGGTTTAAAGATCAGTGAAAAGCATCGTTAGAAATCTTGTAGTGAAATCTGTGGATTCCTTTCAAGTTAGCTCTGTTGAACTGCAATTTCCAAGTGAAAAGTAAGGATAATTCCAAAATAGTTCTGAGTAGAATCCCAAGGGAATCCTGAGAAGGATCCATAGAAAATGTTCAGGATTCAGAGGACAATTCCATGGTTATTCCAAAAACAATCCCAAGAGAGTTTTGACTAAAATTGTAAGGTAATTTTGAGGAGAATTCCAAGGGATTTGTAATGAGTTCTCAGAGGTACTTGTGAGTAGAATTCTAAGAGAAGATGAAGAATCCAAAAGAATTCAATGAAAGTTTGGAAGATGCTTCCAAAACAATTCTATGAAATATTCGAAAGGTTCAAGGTAAATTTCTTAGGAATCCTTAAGAGAGTTTGAAGGTTATTCCTGTTTTAATTTTAGAGAACTCAATGCTTAGCTGCTAGGAAATTATGAGGAGCATTTCAAGGAATTTACGGCACTACTTCAAGAGAATTCTGGGAGGAATTTAGAGGGAGCTCCAGTGATAATTTCATGAGAATTTCAGGAGAATACTTCGTGAATACTGCCCAAGAAAAAATTGGGGTTTTATGGGGGTTCTGTAGATCATGATTGAGACTTATAGAATGCTTTTAAACCTATATAAAACTTGCAATGTTACTTGAGTGGGGAGAGTTTATTTCAGGAGACTTCTTGGTGAAATTCTTAGGTTATACAGCGAACTCAATTTACAGACTTGCAAAGAACTATATGGAGCAAATTCTGTTGGAGTAGACCGATCTACTGGTAGGTAATCCAGGAGGCTATGAACTGGAACTGCCAAATAAGATTTCATTTATCATGTTTCAGTAGTAAACCAGTGTGTGGATAAACTCAAATCTCAGGCATGAGTTTATTCGTCTATGAGTTTTGCCATGCAAAATTCAACTGCGCAAAAATCACCGGTGAGTTTTCAGTTTCAAAAATTCATTTCATTATATTTTGGCGTTATTCATTGTTGTTACTGTTTTTGTCATTTGTGAATTGAAAACTAACGCAATTGACATTTGAGCGGTTTTTATGAGTTTTAAGCTGGAACAATTTTTTGGCGTTGTGAGTGAAAATGAAAGATAGTCTCAGGCGTAATATGTGTTTGCAACATTCGCACGTGAGTTTACTCTCTCATGAAGGTTCAATGAATGAGATTTGAGAATGATCTTCCGAACACTGATCAGTTCACACGTCTTTACGTTTACTTAGGTAATTTCCAATAGGTGATGGGCCCAGAATGGAGAATTATAGGAGCTAAGAAGAAGAATTGAAGCAACTAAAAAAATAGCAGCCCCGAAAGTTCTGGTAGCAGTGGATGTTCAGAAAACGGAGCTTGGGCGAGTCCTCCTAGCTACAGCATATCAAGTCTGCCTGCGATACAGTGTTTGTAGGACGCACCTGGAAATTCGCAGTACAGTCGTTATTGAAGCTGAAAGAGCCATGAGACGTCGTGAAGACGATGGAGCGTTGCCGGAGATAGATGCGAAGAAGGACAGAAGAGCGAAGGCTTAACTTATACTACTGCTTTATCCTGTGAATTATGTTCATGTTCAAGAAGCGAAGTCTGCGAACAGCATGCTCTTCCAGCGATAGGAACTTATGTTACCAAAAAGCTTTCTGCTCGCATAAGTGCATTTTATGGCATTTCTCAGGAATTGATTGTCTTGTATTTTTCGAACAAGCGAATTCGTTTTATTTACATTTCTTACTATACCATGGAAATGTTTTTAATTAAGATAAGTTGCTTTTTTGTCTGATTACGTACATACCATTTTTTTAATACATTCCTACTCGTATATTTATTTCCGGGCCAATCCTCGCAGTTTCAACGATCTCAAAATCGCTTCCGGAATCGGTGGTGGAGTTGGCAGATGAGCACCTGAAGCTTGGAACCCATTCTCATCGGCTACGTAGTCCACTCGATACAGGACACCATCATCACCAATGTACTCATAGTAACCCTTAGCACGCATAACTTGGTCATCCGTGCCAGCATTGTCCACTCGTCCAGTTTCGGAAATTTCAATATTGTTGTCGTTCAGTACCCGGTAGAAGTACGAACCATCTTCGTTCAGCTGGCGGGTATCTTCCTTGATTTTTGCCGAAGAATCTCCAAAATTAGTATTAGTCATTTTGGCACCAGTGAAGGAACCAGTAGCTGTTGCAGCATTGAAACCACCCGTTGAACTGCCGAATGAATCACCGAAAGGACCAACCACAGAAGCTCCGCTTCCAATACCGGAAGCACTTCCGAAGCGGATTGATGGATTGCCTAGAATGTATCACAAATTGTTTAATTGAATTCTTCAGCAGCCCTTGCGATGTTTTATACCAGTTCCTTTAGTACGGTCACCACGGCTATAGGATCCAGTTTTGTCCGGATGCCACTTTCCATCGTCGAACTTGGAAGCGTACAGCTCTGGGTAGTAACGTCCATCGTTGTAGTTCTGGGCCAGAACACAACCCACCGTTAACAGCGAGAACTGTAAGTAAGCAATCACGCACTCATTATCACATTGTTTAAGTTCAAAGCTATTTTCAACACCAGTCGATTATCAGTCCATGAAAATAATCACTATTATTCACGATTTTTCTCACATATTGTACTCAGAGCGTAAAATTATTGACTGCTTAGGCTGAGTGTGAAAGCACTGCACTATTCGATTTATTGCTCTATTCAAACGGTTAAGGACGAGGCAATGAAAGAGCCAACAAAAACATTCAGTCACTCACGAACAGGCGAATCACACCACTTGCCTTTGTTCACACAACATGTAATTGAGCCATTTTTCCCTAGAAAATGAACGCTTAGTCATTGAAAACGGATTCACGGAAGACTAAACGTGCTGACCGAACTACTGACTGAGTGCTCTGCTGTCAGTGACTCGTTTACTTTCCAATCATTCAGACTCTCACAAGGCAGTGAATGATGAGGTGGATGGCTGTTCATGACTCATCGAACCTGACTGTCTTGCGCACTGAATTTGTACCACATAAAATCGATCCTTACCACAATCAAACACTTCATTTTTAAAATCACTTGAGCACTATCTTCTCTGATCGACATCGATGAAATGATGTGCTGCAATCCGACAGTGGTCCAGTTTATATAGGTGCAAAATGTTGAAGATGATTTCAAACGTTAAATCGTTTAATCTACTTTATTTGGAGTGATTACCGAATGGCCGATGACCGATCGCAGACGGGACGGGAGACATTTCCAAAATAATAATCTGGAATCTTCACTCGCAGAGGTGAGAGGTGGAATATTGATGTGCTAAGCAAACGAAATGTTTTCATTCTGTGTAGGTGGATTGGTCACAGTTTTGAGTTGTGATCCCACAGTGCAGAGTTGCTGTTGAGATGATCGGTTTAATTCCAGAATTTATTGCAAGCTAATGGTGCTAGCATCAACTTAGAGCTTCACACTTTAAAGCTGCTTATTTGGTACACAGCTAAAAAAAAGTAGTGTAAATTTCCGTTACTATGATGCACATAAATGGAGCGTCATATATCATACAAGTTTAGATTGTAGAGCATGTAAATTTATAAGACATGTCATGCAATATTCCATATATTGTATGCAACTGTCCACTTTTGTTTGCAACATTTCTTGCAAGCTGCTAGTTTACGTGAAAATGAAGTTTACATGTATGAATGTTTGCATGCATGGATGTTTACATCGCCAGTAAAATTCAGAATTTTTTGGTGTGTAGACAATGGTTTAGAATCATGCTTACATTACACATTGATGTACAATTTTTATCAGATTCAAGAACAAAAGATGGTTAAGGTGAAACGGTACGTCTTGCAACAATGGCTGTCCTCACAATCATTAACTAAATGTGATGTGGTAGGTGTACGAAAGACATCCTCGACAAAAATAGTAAATTTCTGATTGCATACCATAAAATAAAGGTCAGAATTGTATGAATAAGAACTGGATACATATTGTAACACTTTTCCTTCAAATTTTTGCCAATTCATTCCACGATCGTTAAAAATTAAAAAAAAAAAAAAGTTCGATCAGTTGATGTTGTGCTGCTCAAGGCATGAATTTCCAATATCTGTTTTCACTAGCTTTCACTATTCGGAACCACACTCAAAACAATCACGTCACATGCTTCTAGATACACTTTCAAACCAATCAAGTTTCAATGTAAATTATTGATTAGGACTCCGAACACGATGCCTCCGGTAAAATGTGTAACGGCGAACTTGCAATGTTTGAAAAATAATAGTTCAGACATTGATTAACGAATTTTAAATCTATTGGCGCAATTTGAAAGTTAAGACTTTAAAGATTAGAAATTTATCAATAAACTGCTGAGAAATGAATTTGTCTATTTGCCGTTACACATTTTACCGGAGGCATCGTTTTCGGAGTGTTAATGAGTTTTATTGCTAAAAACGCGAGTCGTGGATACATTTTGAAGATAAAATTGTTTTGTTTATCGGTGCATCGACAAAACGTGTGTTGGCGGCGTATACTTTTAATATCAGTGAAATGTGGTTCGTTTCGAGAGATCACTAAAAAGCTGCAGGGCTTCATTAACCGATTTCTTGGTGGCCTCACAACTATATCTCAAATGCTGAGGTTCATCGTTGATGTCATCAGATACCAATCAGCTACACCCAACTGGGAAAGGTGAGATTCTATTATAGATTTGCAAAAAAAGAATACAGAAAATTAAAGGATGAAGTCTGTCCTAGCCCCAGGTTATAGCGATAACGACCATCGAACGACAATCTCTGATGTTATTCTAATGTTATTGATTCGATTTTCAACACTCGTTGCCTTGTCGGTCAATCCCAAGCTAAATCAATAAAGTTTTTTTTTTCAATTCTATCTACGCTATAATTTTGCCCAAAATCGCCTAGATAATAATCAGAAACAATTCATCAGACACCAATATGGCCCCAGCCAGAACCCATGTTTCGAGTCCGACTCCAGCCATGCACCTGCATAGCTCATAGCCATCAGCGATCGCGAAAATCAATAAAACAAACACGCATTAAAAGCTGTCAATTTCGGTCTAATCTTCGAGCGAGTGAAAAATCAATAATACACGACCGCGATAATCGTTTCGTCCAAGTGTCATCTAGTAGGCGTGGACGTTTTATGCAAAGTGACCAATCGATCAAGTGTCGCCAAGAGGATTCGGTTGATGAGTGCTGTCATTTAGTGATGGTGATCAGTCAGCAAGCGCTGCTTGCAATTTGGTCCGCACTGCCGGGTGACAGCAATGTGACGTAAGTGCCAAAATCAAAATTGTTCGGGAGAAGCTATTTTCTGGTCAAGCATTATAAAAAGAAATATTCATTTCCATCTATGTTTGATTTCCTATTATCCTATTCGACATTCTCAGGAAAAATCTAATTTAATATTTAGAAATGTTGTTCTACGAACGTTACTTTGCTGGATAAACGAGATTTAAAATCGACATTGTTTACAAAAGTGACGATTGTTGAACAAAATTTCCTATGATGAATAATGGTCCAAATTCAAGTTGTTTGGCGTCAACAGAGGCTGAATATGAAACGGCAAAAAAGTGAAAATGGGACATAGTGGCGAATACGTCATTTTTTCGGCACACGGCAGCCCAGTCCAAATTGGTAGATAATTTGTGGATTTGCATTAATTTCCTATTTGTTCGATGCTACCTGAACCATCACTGATGGAAAACGGTTAAGATTGGCATGGTATTCTGAAAGGTTTATAATTTCTCAAGCAAAACAACTCGATCGTCTCGGCTTATGATGCTGGATCGTGCCTGCTGTCATGTTGGAATTGTATTGATTGAGGTGTGGCCTGATTATGATTCATAACTGTTCCACTGTCAGTTAAAAGCTTCTTTCGTTGGATTATCATTCTACTGCTGTCAGTCGGAATGACAATGTCCCAAGGACTACGATTGCTAATTTAATAGCTGCTGCCATTTTTATCGATTGGCAATACAAAGCAATATACAAATGATGAATATTTTAACATAGTGCTTCATATGGGAGGGACATACATTGGTGTTTGATACACGCAAAATTAACTTCTCTTACATCTAATTGGATTTATGACATCCTCTGCATCCGTTTCATAAAATAAATGTTTTGACAGCTATTGCAATGGACTGAAGCATACTAGTAAATTTTTCAAGAATGAATATTTTTGAATAAAACGTTCAAGAAACAAACCTTGTACGAAAAATAAAGCTAACTTAAAAATTACTGTAATCTATAAATCTGTAATAGAATCTTACATTTTTCGGTGGGGTGTAGGGACCATCGAACATTCGCGAATAAAACTTCAAATATCTGCAAAAAATGTTAAATATTTATTGCTAAAAATTATGGCTTTTTGCTTCCGGATCGTGACATAAGAGAGCATTCAACAGCCATCGGGACAGTCCTAATTACGGTTTTGCAAAGAATGTATCGATTGTATCAGAAATAAAAATCCTTTCCGTTTTGCTTATATGATGCACGACATTAATTTACATTCTTAATCTATCGCGCATTCATAGAGCTTTTATTATCTATACATTCGGTTCGGTTGAAAGAAAGATATCCTATTTCACTACCCGATCGACGAAATATCGATTTGAAAATGCAAATTTCGCTCTAACGATTAGTGTAGCTCGTCCGCTATAAGAATGCCTTGCCAACTTGACCTCCTGAATGGTTCAGTTTTTATTAGTAATGCGCATCGAACGAAACTAAATAGGGTAGATGTACCATTTTTGGCAATACGTTGCTATTATGGTGTATTCTAATTAAGGCCAATGGATGTCCCATTAGCCATCATTGGAACACCAATGACCTATTAATATATCACTCATTAAGTTAAGTGCATGTCGAATTACTCCATCACTATTGGGAAATGATGAAGTATTCGATTTTTTTACAGTTGCCACTCTTGCATTTATCGCAAGGATCCGACTCTAATTGAAAGGTCCCGCTATTTATACCCTTCGGAGTGTTGAAACACCCTCCAAAGGCGCGCCCCTTTGTCAGTCAAAATTGGATTCCTTAGCAACAAAATTAAGGAATGACACCGATAATGACCATGCATCAGAACCGTAGTCTTAACCACTTCAAACTAGGGAACAACGATTAGAAGATTAGGAATCATATAGATGAAGACAACTAACTCATTTTTTTCCTTGTTTCAAGATCATCCTCGGTAGACAAAGCCGAGTCTTGTCACTATCAACAAGGCATAAAAAGTAACAAGGAATCAGATGTGTTCCTTGGATTACTGAAAAATCTTGTTCCCTTAGTTTGAAGTAGTCAGGACTAGGAATCGGTGGTAGATCTTACATCCCGTAACGTACCACGAAAAGGTGATCTACCCACGTTACGGGGCAACTACCCCGGTACTAAATATACATACTTCGAAAAATGCTCCAAACTGATCATTAAAGCTACCACATTGAAGCTGTCAAACCCATTCTAGATTTGTTTGAATGGTTACAAGCTACTGCTGCTAAATGGCCGTTTATGGAAGTTTCTCTCTCTTTTTTTTTTTCTTTCTTTGATTTGATTTCCGTCGATCTTGTTTTCAGTGCTGAGCACCAATGATCATTCACAAGCTTGGAGAAGAAAATGTTATTGAAAAGATGAAGCGTAAGTTTTCAACAGTGTTTGATGGGGATTTTTCAACTCCAATAGTTGGGTTTGTAGGAGATCTAGTATTGAAAGAGGAAACACCAATTTTCCGAAAAGCCTATGGGGTACCATTGAGGTTGCGACAAAAGGTCATAGATCATTTAGAATTCTTACAGAGAGATGCACACCAAAAAATTCTGAATTTTACTGGCGATGTAAACATCCATGCATGCAAACATTCATACATGTAAACTTCATTTTCACGTAAACTAGCAGCTTGCAAGAAATGTTGCAAACAAAAGTGGACAGTTGCATACAATATATGGAATATTGCATGACATGTCTTATAAATTTACATGCTCTACAATCTAAACTTGTATGATATATGACGCTCCATTTATGTGCATCATAGTAACGGAAATTTAC